TGTGCATTAATAAATACTCTATAAAGCAATTAAAATGATATAAATTAACACATGTGATACATCTATGCTAATAATTATTCAATAAAATAATGCACACACTACTTAAATTATATTAATTTTCTTATAAAATACATATTTCCCCAAGTTAGAGATGAGGAAAATGAAGGCAAGAGAGTCGTGTAACTTGTGATGGAACCAGTACTTAGACCCAGTTCTCCTTTACAAAAGCCTTTAATTTATCCTTGTCTGGAAATACTCATCTCTCTCTATCCACATGGAAAAAGAAACTCATATTTGAGTGATAATTTTGCTGGATATAAGATTTCTGGTTGGTAATGTTTTCTTCTTCCAGGATTTTATATGTCATCCATTGTCTTCTTGCTTGATGGTTTCTGCTGAAAAATCCAAGATTATTCTTATTGGTTTCCTTAGCTGTTATTATTACTTGCCCCGGCTGCTCGCAGAACTCTCTCCGGGTCCTGGACTGGAGTTTGACTACAATGGGGTGTGCTGGCTTTCTTTTGGGATCTATCCTGTTTGGGGCTCTCGCAACTTGCTGAGTAGTTGCTTTTCCCCTTTCATGTTGCTACAAAAGTGTTCTTCCAGAAATGCTTTGGGACGATTCTCGGTGGGTTTGTTTGTTTGTTTCTTCCTGCCCTGGAATCCCAATGAGACATAGTTAGGGTAGTTACCTTCTTACAATTAAGAACTTTCTTCCGACTTCTTTGCTCCTTTTGTTGTTCGTTCTTGTAGACTGAAGTGAAAAATGTCTTCAAGCTCAAAAATTCCGCTGTCCATTTTCTTGTTTCTCTGTAAAATTCTGTTACCTTAGTATTTGTTTGTCTTGGGTTTCAGTCACCTTCAGCCATTTTTGGGGGTCTGTGTTGCTCACTTGTTTGTGCCTGTTTCTTTTTCCATGTGGATCAATATTTTCTGTTGCTTCATCAAAATTTTGATATAGCAATAAGGGCTGGCAGGAAGGTTGGGCTGTGTGGGGGCAGTTAAGTCCATCAAATGGTACAGGAGAGGAATAACAGAAACTTCCAAATGAGTATAGTAATAAAGGAGACAGACTAAAGAGGAAAAAAGGTAGAAAAATAGGGTAAAAAGAAAATGTTAGTCCTAATTTTTTTTTAATGTTGCTGTTAGGTGCCATCAAATTGGTTCCAACCCACAGAACCTTTATGTACAATAGAATGAAATAATGTCCGGTCTTCAGCCATCCGACTGTTCCCATGCTTGAGCACATTGTTCCAGCCACTGTGACAATCCATCTCCGTGAGGGCCTTCCTCTTGATCACTTCCCCTCTATTTTACCAGAGATGATGTTCTTCTCCAGGGACTGGTCTCTCCTCATAACATAACATGTCCAAAGTACGTAAAACGAAGGCTTGCCATTCATGCTTCTAAGGAGCACCTTGACCATACTTCTTCCAAAACAAACTGGTTTGTCCTTTTAGCATTCCAAGGTACTTTCAATATTCCTCTCCAGCACCACAATTCAAATGTATCAATTCTACTTCATTCTTCTTTATTCAATGTCCAACTTTCGCCTGCATATAAGGCAACTGATAATACCACATTTTTCAATACACTGAAGAGTTGTAGAACAGCAGATTTGCCTCATGTGAATTGCCATTTGACCTCTTGACTGCTGCTTCTATCAGCATCGATTGTGGATCCAGGCAAGGCAAAATCCTTGACTTTAACCTCTCCATTTATCATGATGTTACTTACTGGTCTAGGTGTAAGGTTTTGGGTATTCGTTACACTAAGTTGTTTTTAAAAATATTAAATTAAAAATTAAAAAAAGAAAGAGAAAAAAAGTGTTGCTGCTTGGTTGGGATCCAAGTTCTGCCTAGGAGCTTGTAGCTGGTATGGGCGAGAGCAAGGTGCGTCCCTGTGAGACGGATGGAGTACAGAGGCGGGCTCAGTAACTGTGCTGGAGGCACCCAGGGTGAGGACCAGTGGAGCAGTTGCAAGCTATGCCCAAGGACAGAGAAGATGCTCATAGTTGGGTGCTTCAACCAGCCAGGGGTTGGCTTAGGTGAGACACCATCCTGGAGGCAAGAGGGTCAAGTGAAGAAGCCTGGGAAATAGGAGGGAGGGCACACACCACTTGGGAGCTGAGAAGGCCTGGAGCAGACTAGGGCAAAGGGTGGGGCTGAGGCCTACAGAGCACATGCTCCATCTGAGGTGCAAGGCAGCTGTGAGGGGATTCCAGGGCTCTGCACATGAGTGCACCCTGCCTGGGATGCCAATCAATCAAAAGGCCTGCCATGCACCAAGCACGCTGGATGGGTGGGAGGAAACATCAGGTGTCAGATGGGTGTGGGCGAGTTTGCCCATGCCATTCTCTCCTGCCCCCCTCCTTTGATTTTCAGAAAGGTTGGGTTATTTAACTATCCAGTTTTTCTCTAGGATTGCTGTTACCCTGGCTCTTCTTTCTTGCAAACTGTTTCCTGATTGAATAGGGATTTACTTTCCATGTGACCAATTGGCCACCTTGAACTGGAAACATCTTTGGGGCCCAGTTCTACCACTTCTATATGTAAAATCAGACTTCTTGTTAGGCCACAGTCACACTGCCGGCTCTACCTCAATACTATGCTACACTGATACATGTGAGTTTCATCTTTCTACTTTAAAAATGTTCTACATATTAATTTTAAGTTGGCAAATTAAGGAATAGGATTTCTTCGCATTTTATAAACATCATCCTAAAAGTAGTATGTAGAATCACTTAGCAGTGAGGCATACTACCATGAGACCAGCTAATGAAGTTATTGCAATGGTCTTGAATAAAGCAAGTGCTAGCGGGGTGGAGAGAAAATGGCAGGAGTATTTTGGCAGTGGCTGTTTGGGTGGGATATGACCTAGAGGATGGGGAGAAAGGAAAGAAAAAAAATTAATGGCACCAAATGGTGTTCACTTCTTGAGTAACATACACCCTGTTGATGGTAGTTCAGTGACAGTATCTTCATACAGGAAAAAAACAAAAAACCTCACTGCCATGGAGTCCATACTGACTCCTAGCGAGCCCCTGTGGGTTTCCGAGCCAGCAAGTGTTTACAGAAGCAGAAAGCCCAGCCTTTCTCCTGCAGAGCCGCTGCTCGTTTTGGACTGCTGACTGTGTGGACTGCAGTCAAAGTGTAACCACTATACCTACCACCAGGGGTCCTCCTCATACAGGAAAGGCAGAGCATTACTCACTGTTTAAAGTAAGAAAATAAAGTTCCATCTGCCAGTAGGCTAAGTAGAGAAGTTAAGTTTAGAAGTTAAGAAGTAGAGAAGCTATTCCAATTCCTGTTCCTGGATTCCATGTCATGAGCTCTTATCTCTTATCTGTCCCTCAGTCCGAAGTAAGAAGCATGATAGTGGGGGGGTGGGGGGGGGGTGAAGCATCAAGGAACCAGAGGAACGCTGTGTGTTTCATCGGTGCTTTACTGCCTCCTGGTTGACTCATCTCTTCTCTGTGGGGAGATGTTCCATTGTTTACAGATGGGCTTTTGGTCTCTGTTCCTAACCCCCTTGTTCTCAACAGTATGTTTTTGTTTATTTGTCTGTTATGGATCTTCTGATGCCTGTTACCGGGTCCCGATGACACCTCATGATCCTACTGGCTGGTGTGCTTCCTCCATGTGGGCTTGCTGCTTCTCTGCTGGATGGCCGCTTGCTTCACTTCAAGCCTTTACGACTCCAGATGCTATAACTTTTAATAGCCGGGCACTATTTGCTTTATTTACCACATTTGCTTATGCACCCATTTTGTCTTCAGCGATTGTGCTGGGAGGGTGAACATCACAGAATGACAGTTTGTTAGAACAAAGTATTCTTGTATTGAGGGAGGGTATGAGCAGAGGCTCGAAGTCCATCCACTACCTCAGTGTATTGCCATATAAATATATGTACATACGCCAATACCTCGATTTTTTTGGATTAATGTATTTACATATGTACATACCTATGCTTATTCCTCTATCCATAGATTTGCTTCCTTTCACCTTCCTTCTGCCCCACCATCATGCTCTCCCTACTTCTGCCTCTTAGTATTTCCTCTCAGCTAGACTGCTGTGCTCCAACACGCCCAAGATCTCTACATCCTCCTTATTGTTGATTTAGAGGGGAGTGGGGAGATAAGGGGAGGTAGGGGTTACTGAATGCATTGATCAACACATAACCACACCCCGCCCACTTCAGGGGGAAGAACAACAGAAAGAATGGGGGAAGGGAGACAGCGGTCAGAGTGAGATATGAAAATAATAATAATTTATAATCTATCAAGGGGCCACATGGGTATGGGGGAGGGAGAGAAAAAAGAGGTGCTGATACCAAGGACTCAGTAGAAAGTAACTGTCTAGAAAAGGATGGCAACATATGTACAAATATGCCTGACACAATTGCTGTATGGCTTGTAATAAGAGTTGTGAGAGCCCCCAAGAAAATGATTTTGAAAAAACAACAAAAAAGCAGAGAAGTACACAAATGTAAATTGACAGCCCAACCCTCCCTACTGGATAACGTTGACAATTCTAGATCGAATCCATGACAAGCTGGGAGTTTGAACTAGTCAGAGGTGCAGAGATATAAAACATTTATCACAGTAAATAATTTAGTCAGGCTGTTCCTCTCACACGAGACCTTGCTTTCTTGGGGATTCTAGGTAACCTCCAATGGCTCACATCCAGGGTCACGCGCACCCGTCCTGGATGCCTTCAAGTTGGTCAGTATACGGCGGGCTCTCTTCTCAGAATGATTCCAATTCTTTCATTGCTGCTGCTTGCTGAGAGTCCTGGGTCCCACCACCCTCCGGAAAGTCTCTACATTATGCTCCATTTAGTGCCTATTTCAGGTCGGCCTAGTCTCACCTGTTACCATGATCATCTCTTTGTACATGGTAAAGCTAGGGACAGATATGCAGTTGGGAATATAAACTGAAGATGGTGTACTAATATTTTCTAGGAATATAAGAATACCATGGAAATATCCCATCAATATACCTTTCAATTCTCTTCTTGTTTTCTTCCATCTTTTGATTGGCTAAATTTAACAGGAAGTCAATATACTCCTCTGTCACCATCAGTTTCCCCTTATGGGTTAAAGGAACTTCTAAGCCATGTGTACTCCGGACAGCCTACAAAGGAAACCACAATTTAGATGCAGAAGACGTATTAATGAAGGTACCAAAGAGAATTAAAGAAAGTCAGGGCTATGCTTAAATATAGTGTTGCTCCATTAAAGCTTTATGTTTGTACTTGGATATAATTTAGCTGAACACAGCTGAATTGAAGGAGATTAAATAGATTTTCACATCATATAAAGTCATTTCTAAAGAAAGGCATGCTATGCCTTGCCATCAGAGAAGCAGATAAAATCAAAGAACTCAATAACTTTAACAGTTTCAATCTTGGTGTAGCTTAGATCGCTTTAGTACACAATTTAAAGTGAAATAAATGAAACTTCAACAGAAGCGGCAATGGAAAATCGAAATGGACTGGGTGCCAAAGCATCTCAGTGTGCCAAGAATGCTACAAGAAGCACACAGTAAACCAGCCTGCTCTACTGCACAAAGTGGCTACATTCTCATTACTTAGGGTCGTCAAACTTTACCGCCCTGTTGATGTAACACTGAGCATGTTCCCAGTAGATATAAACACTAGATAAAGGTTAAGAACAACAACAAAAACTATTAGAAGACACAAAAGCCTTTCAGTGAAACTTTATGGAGTGAGGCTAGAGCCTGAATATAATATGTTCCCGTACTTTAAAAGTTCACACTATAAAACAAGAAATAAAAAGATGAACAAAAATGTAACACTGTAAAGATAATCAAAAATACAACATTGGTTTGGGGGTTTAAGTACTAATTTCACTAGATATAAAGGAAGAAGAGAAAGGGAGAAAAGCACTCCGCTCAAGGAACAACATATTCAGGGTCTAGAGACATGAAAGGGTTTGAGACATCTGGGAAACCACAAATATCTCTGTATGACTGGAGCACGCGTTGCATCAGGAAGACTAGTAGGAGATGAATAGAAATAGGTAAGGCCTCAATACCATGGAAAATATTTGGAGAGCCTGAGAGCAAGGTTGAAGGGAAGACCACGAGCAAGAAGGCTCATCAGGAAATAATTGTAAGTGAGGGAAGACGATGGCCAAAGTGGGGCTAGTGACAGGTGGAATGATAGAGCCAAGTGTGCGAAATGAGAGGGAGGAGTGAAGGGACCTGCAGTGCATGAAAACATGGACGATGACTAAAGTGGAAGGTGAAAGAATGGCTTGATTGTTGCTTGGGCCACCACAAGCAACAGTGGTGCTAACTGAGCCACGGCACTCGCCAGTACCACAGGCCCTGAGCTACTATGCAGTCACACTTTATAGATGTCTTCTTTTGTAGCCACCTCCACGGATGCCGATTGCCATAAGTAGAAAACAGGAAAATAAAGGGAGCTGGAATATAGGGCAGTCTGAAGTAGTTAAAATACAAAACAAATAAGTAATACAGGTTCTGCCAAACAGTCCAGTAATACATACAGGCCGTCCCTCATTACAAATGTCTGATTTATGGACACCTACTTCCCCTTCAGTGTTATGTAAATTTGCCCTCACTTTGAAATGAGGGAACCCACCTCTACACAGAAAAAAATTCTTCAATACAATCTCCTTCTTTGCAGAAGGCCACTTTTTAAATCAAGGACAGGCTTTGAAGCTGTTCTTGCAGTAGCCCAAACCCACTGCTGACACAGTGAAGCTCGAGCGGAGAGCTGCTGCTGCAAATGAACTGTCTTCCAGGTGGCTCTTCCACCCCTGCTTCTGTAACTTCCTCCAGTGGGATGAACTATGCTAATAGGGTGCGTGAAACATTCAGAGTGGGGATTGGTCAGTCTTGGTTGTTATTCATATATATATATGAATATATATATATATATATATATAAAGTCATTTGAAAAGGAGGGAAAAAGAGAATTCCTAAGATCATCAGGAAGACGAGCCAGCAGAAGAGCCCATCCAAAATTCCTGCCCGAAGTGGAGCAGGCAGCAGAGCATGTGCTATGCTGAGCCCAGAGGCTGAGACAAGGAGACAATTGACAGAGCAGGGGAGTAGCACCAAGGCTGTGAGGGGGAGCAGTGGACTGGCTTCCTGGTCCTCAGAGGCAGAGGCCAAGGGAGCATGTGGCTGAGAGGCTGAGTACCAAAGGGAGAGACTTGGATGCTGGCTGAGAAAAGGTGCTGTTGTGGATCAACGACTATCCTTACTGTTTTGTTTTTTTATTCTGGATTGTGGTTACCCATTAGCTTCCCTAATAACCCCCCGTAATTGTGAGGGTTGTCTGTGAGTTCTGTGCAGCACTGCAGCAAATGAGCAAACGTAGCAGGAAATGAAGAGTGTTGTCCAAGAACAGTTGGAGTGAGAACGCTATAAGGAAAGAGAGAGGCACGGCTGGCCTTTGCCTTATGGCAGCAGGCCTTGCGCTGGTGTGGAGACAGAGTTGCCTTCTCCCTCAAGTAGCCAGGGGAGGTCAGCTATGGCCCCCAGGCTGTTTATTCAGCTGCCCCACAGGTTGCTGTAATTCCTAGGCTGTACTTCCTTAGAGCAGCAGACCGCCCATCTTATCTTTCTCCTGTAGAAAGGCTAGTGGAGTCAATCCACTGGCCTTTTAGTTAGCAGCTGTACCCTTTCACCTCTGTGCTACCAAAGCTGCTTTCCATGCACTAAAGTAAGATGAGAAAAGAAACACATGCATGTGTTGTGACTTAATTACAAATCTTTAATTAGTTAGACATGAACCTTCTTCATAACTCTGGACAAGGGATCAGAACAGGGCAAAATTTCCCAGGCTGGCTTGGCCAGGGAAGGGCTTGGAAACACTGGCAGACTCAAACAGGCACCTGATAGTACTTTTAGTCCAGAGGTGGCATACTTGTCCAGTAAAGGAATCCAAACTACACCATGCACATCGAGTCAAAACATAGCGACCCTATAGGGCAAAGCAGAACTACTCCTTAGAATGCCTGATGTGAATCTTCATGGGAGCAGACCACGTCATCTCTCTACCCAGAACAGCTGGTGAGTTTGAACCACTGACATTGTAGTTAGCAGTCCAATGCCTATTCCACAATGTCTCCAGGGCTCCCTCTGGAAAGGGATAGGTAGAACCTCTTTCTGACTCTGTGCGTCACACTGTAGAGGAGCATTGGTGACACACTAGTTAAAGCACTTAGATGTTAACCCAAAGGTTGGCAGTTCAAACCCACTGTGGCTCCATGGGAGACATTGAGACAGAAAGACAGTCTGCCTCTATAAAGATGTACAGCCTTGGAAACTCTGGGGGTGGTGTTCAACTCTGTCCTATAGTGTTTCTGAGTTGAAACTGATTCCTCAGCAGTGGGTTTGGCTTGTCTGGTGCCGCACTATCTGTTGCAACTACTCAATTCTGCAAATGTAATACAAAAGCCACCACAGACAACCGAAAAACCAAACTCCCTGCCATGGAGTCACTTCTGATATAGCTGCTAGGAAATTCAGGTGCCAAGTGATGAAGGCACATGCCCACATTCATACAGCACAGGTGTGATGCAGCCAGCGTCTGCACAGGTCTTTGCACTAGATCACAGATTGGCTGGTGCCTAGCTAGACAGGGACACAGTGGAGAATGAGGGAGAGGAGCATATAGGATCAATCAGGTTAAAACTGGAGAGAAGGACTGTAAAATAAGACCTCAAATATAAATCGAACAATTCTGGACCCTGCCCCGTAGGAACGAGTGAGTCGCTGCAGGTGTTGGGCAGGGAGATGAGGAGGGAATGAGTAGGGCATCAGGAGAGAATGAAGGCAGGAGTTAGAGTAGACGCTGAATCCGAGAGTTATGCTAAGTCTAATCACTTCACATTTAAAGAATTACCTGTCACCACACGGTTCCTTACCAACATTGTCTTCCCTCTCTTCCCGACTGTTATGCCGGAGTTCCTGAAACCAGAATCTATCGCTACTGAATGCTGTAAGAGAAAAAAAAAAAAAATGGTTAACTTCAGTTAATCTGGCTATTCAGATCATCTATGAAATTTCACAAACTCCAAAACTATTTTCGTATTTGTACCAATATACATTGTGCTTAAAAGTGACTTTGCTTGCATTCCTACTAGAAATAACAACTCTTTGGAAAAGTCAGAGAGAAACCAAAAGGCAAATATTCAATAAAATGTATACTTGTCTATTTTTATAAGGCAGAAAATGACTTTATTCCTGAAACAGTATGGTATGAAGGTAAAAACAAACACACACACAGTTAAAAAAAATCTCTGAAAATGAGTGTTTCCCTCTGGAGAAGTAGGCTAGAGTTTAGCAGCAAATTAAAAGGGTAGTGAAAGAATTAATTGGAATAATTCGTGTGAAACATTTCTCTTGGTGTCTGGTAAATACTTACTCCTTAACTGTAAGCTGTGGTCATTATGATTAGAACCACGGCATGGAAAGATGGGCAGTGGATTTATGCTGCTTCCTGTTTCTAGGTCGTCAGGATGACAACTGCTACATGAACAAGGGGAATGCAGCCCGGATACAGAAACGTCACTCTAAGGCCGAAACCGCGGTGCCTTTCTGTAATCATTAAAATAATGAGAAAAGTCGATTTTTGAAAGTCTGAGCATCTAGGACGGCTTCGTAAATTACTTCACTATATTAACCTCCAAGTATTACTCCGACAGACAGAGGCCTCAAAAAACAAAGAAAATAAAACATTTAGTTTCTGTAAGCTCCCTGTCTCTCATTTGGTGTATTCTGCGCTGACTGATTTTCCATGCCCCAGAGAACATGCCAATGCCTGGTGACATTTTGGTTGCCACAACTGGGCTGGCCAGGGGGTGAGGGGAGCTACTAGCATCTAACAGATCTAAGGGCCAGGAGCGCTGCTAATCATCCTACAATGCACAGCAGTCCCCACCACAAAGACATCATACAGCTTAAAATGTCAACAGTGCCTAGACTGAGAACCCTTCCTCTAGCAACATGCTCTCCTTGTGGGAGCCTATCCAGTCTCCTCGCTGAAACTCCACATACATGTTGATGGCTTTCATTTCCAGTCCAGACCTCTATCCGGACACTGTAACCCATTTCTCTTGCTCAAACTCCAAAAGTGGGCCTTGATTTCCCCACAGATTTTACCACCAAATTCACCTCAAATCCATCCACTTGTCTTCCTATCCACTGTCCTCTCTCCTACGCGTGGCACTGTACTCCTGCAGGAATCTCCCAGTCAGCTTCTGCTTTCCCTCCGTCTCCTTTCCACTATCTCTTCAGGCACCAGCCACAGACAATGTAAGCATAGACAACTCAAGCTGGGGATACTCTGCTGTGCCTGGCCCCTGCTGCTTCTCCACCTCCCCTGGCCTCTCCTCTGTTCTGTGGCTGTTCTTCACAGGGCAGAGCCACTCTGTCAACCTCACTTTCCTGTATCACCTGTACTGCGTGCAGTTCATCTCATCTCGGTTCCTTCATCTAGTGCTGTGTAAATTCTGTCTCCTCAAAGACACCTTCGAGAATCACTACTTGCAGGTGCTCGCACTTTCTTCACCCTCCAGAAGAGTCCTGTGGATCTCCTCGCTGCACTGACAAGGTGAGAAAGTTCGCCGTTACCCACTTGGTTGTTGGTCTCCAACATTCTCTTTGTCCCGGAACTTTTTGAAGCTCCTTTGTGTAAATATCAGCTGTTAGGGGCAGTCTTTTCTTGTTTCCATTTTGTCCTGGACTCTCAATGATTGTCCAGCACACTGTGGAAAGGTGCAATTCCCAGTCTTTCCAATTCCACAGAAACGAGTTCCTCCGAAGGTGAAGAGGTCCACGAAAGCTTTGGCCCGAAGAAGAGGCCAAGTCAACTCAGGACAGGCGCTCAGAATACTATGCACGCAAAGCTCACTGCCACCACCACTGACCCACAGTGACCCGATAGGTCAGGGTCGAGCTGCCCCTGTGAGTTTCCGAGACTGTCACTCTCCCACAGAGTGGCTGGTACTTTCAAACTGCTGACCTGGCAGTTGGCAGCCCACCATGTACCCACGATGCCAGTATGGAAAATGGGAGAGTTTGGTAAGCAGCAGTGATGTAGTCTGGTAAACTGAGAGGTACAAATAAAGTGAGATCCGAGTTCAGCGGCGCAGCAGGCAGTGAAGGCCTTGGGCACGGAAGTGCGCCTGCCGTGTGGGAGCGCAGCTCTACGTGCTGGTGCTCCCTCTACATGCCTGCTCCCCCTTTTCCCTGGACACTCTTGCCACGGGAGATTTCATTTAGTCCAGTGACTTTAAGTACGACCTGTGCACCAATGCCTCCAGTCTCTGTGTTCCAGGCATCTATCTAACTGTGTACTGGACATTTTCATTACGATGTTTTATAGATATTTCTTGTCTCACCTGTGACACACATTTTGATTTTCCCCACTGCACCCTCCAGCATTCTTGATTTCAGTAAAGGATTACTACCCTATAGCCAGCCACACTCATCTCTCTGCCTGTCCTTTCCAACGACCCCTGCATTAGCTATTGATTCGAGCCCTAAAATATATTTTACTTCCTTCCGTGCTATCTGAGAAAACGTACCATCATTTCTTACTTAGATCACTGCATCCAAGTCCTAACTCATCTCCCTCCACTTACTCCCATCTCGAGCTTGCACTGCAGTGGAGCCGAGGCCGACCCATAGCGGCTCTACGGGACAGCGTACTGCAGCTCCTGTGGGTGGATCAGGCTGCAGCTTTGTCCTGGAGTATAAAGCCCTATCGCTCCTGGCGATGTCAAACTGTGGACCTCGTGGTTGGCAGCTCAATGTGTAACCACATCATCAGGGCTCCTCCTATCTAGAGGGCGACTGTTTGTGTCAGAACACAAATCTGATCAATTCAGTCCTCGATTAAACAATTATTCCTTCCCTAATTTCTCTTTGGACTCAGAAAACACCATGCTCCCTATGCTGGCCTAAAACAGCTTGCTGACCTGACAAAGGGAAACATCAGGTGTCTCAGAGCAGACCACACATCGTAGGTTTTCCATCACTGATTTCTCAGAAGTAGACTGCCCGGCCTTTCTTCTGAGACACTGCTAGGTGGGCTTAAACCTCCAATCTTTTGGCAAGCAGCTGAGTGCACTAACTGTTTGTACCTCCCAGAGACTTCCTAAATGCCTTGTGCCTATCCTGTTTTACCTCTTGTCTGCTCTCCCCTCCAGACCCACTGTCCTTTCTGGTTTGTGAACACCATGTTCTTTCTGGTTACAAAACTTTATAGATTATTTCCCATTTCCTGGAATATTCTTTGTGCCAGTTGCATGCTTAGCACTTTGTTTCTTTAAAGCCTCAGCTTCAAGACACCTCCTCAGAGAAGCCTCGGAGGCCTCTCTTTGTGCTCCTCTCTGTCAGCAGCTTGCTTTTATCCTCAGAATATTTTGTAGCATGAGGTTCACTTCCTTGGTCTGTCTCCTCACTTTGAGGAAGGAATCAAGAGTGTCATTATTTCATAGACTACTGTACCACTAGTCTCTGCCACAGTAAGATTCAATTATACAAGTGCTGAATGAATGCTTATAATGCAATTTAATTTTATATATGAACATACTGAAAGTATAAAAATTAACAAGGAGAGAAAATAGTGAACTAAATGAGTTATTTTGAACTCATTTAAATTAGGAAGAAAATAGAATACTACATAAAACACTTAATTTTACATGGTAGCTTCATAGTATTTTTTCTAATAGTTCAGTAGAGAAAAACAAAACATACAAGGTTGAAGTAAAATCTCTAAATTGAAGCTTAAGGAAGAAAACAAAAACCACAGTTTGGATGCTACATTTTGTGGTTAGCAGCCTGATGTATAGCCCTCCGTGGTGGTGGGAAATATTTTAATATGGTTCTGTTGCCCACGTCTCTGTAACTCCCACTAAAAGATGTGGGGGAGGGACGATGCAGACAGAGGGCTGGTCAGTTTTCGTGAGCATGCTTGCGGGAACGATGCACCCTCTTCGAAGCAGCAGAGAGAGAAACCCTGAGGGCCTTGGATGAGCAGGGTAAGATAACTGTCTGGAAATGGGGGAGGCTGCAGAGACCAGAGGCATAAGAGACTGAGCCACATAACTCGGAGGAGCAGAGCCCGATTATGCGGTACCTTCTCCTGATCTGCCCGAGACTGTGAAACTGGAGGGCAGAGTGACAGGCTGGCTGACTTTCTGGCCTGTGGAGGCAAAGACAAAGGCACCACATAGCTGAGAGACTCGGAACTGGAGACTTAGTTAGCACGTGGCTGAGAGGCTGAGAACCATAGAGAGACTAAGGTGCTGGCTCAGGAGACCGATGACTGTATCCATACTGTTTGTTGATCCTGATTTGTGGCAACTGATTGATTTCCCTAATAAACCTTCTTAATTGTGAGTACTTTCTGTGAGTTCTCCATGGCCACTGCAAAGAATTATTGAACCTAGCACAGATGTACAGTAGCGTGGAAGAAATGGTATCAGAAGAGGTAAAGAAGGTTGGACCAGAGGCTTGTCTGACCTCCAATTCGTGGTAGTAGGAAAGCCACAGGAGGTAATATATGTAGACCCTCCATTGCCACTTACTGCACCCGCTACACCCTCGGGATTCTTAGGATGTTGTATTTTGTTAGCAATTATTAGGGACTGTTTCTTTTCTATATCTAAAATTAAATATATTGATAAGAGAAGAATAAATAAAGAACTCATCAAATAAGCTCATGCCACTAATTTTTTGATTCAAATTTTAAAAGTAAATGTACTCATATCCATATATATGTATACATATGCAAGTAAAATTACAGAATTTACCAGAAGCTGTGCATCCTGCAACTGTCGACACTGCACATGAAGAATAAATGGTTCGAATTTCAAAATGGCATCACCACCTGCTTTTTTCAGAGCAACCATCTGAAAAAATGAAAAGTCCTAAGATCAACTCAAAGGTCCTGTCCTGCGGATCACGTAAGGCCAGCTTTCCCTGGCCCCACTCAGGCCACTCCGAATAGTTTCTCGGCAGCAACCTATCCCTCGGCTCTCTTGGTCCGCCCTCCTCAAACGCTTAAATCTGGGTTTCTTGATATACCTGGTGTTTATTTCTCGCATAAGCCTTGTGTGTGATTCTTTTCAAACATATTTGTATCTTTAAAAAGGAAACTACAACTCTTAACTCTATAATAAAGTTTTTGTTTTTTAATTTCAAGGAAATAGGAGATTTTTAACAGTACTACAAGAACTGCTTAAATGATTTGTTGATAGATTGAGGGTATAGACACCTGTATTGTTGTCTGAGCTAGAATTTATATCAGACAATTGCTGGTTCTGCCTGTCTTGCACCCTGGGGCAATATCCCTTGTCCTTCACACGATGTCCCTGGTGGGATTATTAACCCCTACCCTGGCACACTTGTCACTCTCCCACCATCACTTCAGAGTCAACAAGAGATCTGCGTTTGACTAAGGACAGCATCCCATACCACTGGTGTAAACAGTTGCCCAGGAGGAAAACCCTAATCCAAGCAGAACTATGGATCAGATCCTAGGGGAAAAGGTTTTTCCCCCTCTACTGGGGTTGCTGCTAGTAATCTTTCCTGTCGCAGTGATCATGGGCAAAAGAAGAGAATGAGAACACAGTCCATAAACTAGGAGTGCTTGCCACCTGGTCTTTTCAGCTAAATCATCTTTTTTTCCCCCCTTCCATTTAACCAAACTCGGTGCTATTGAGTCAATACTGACTCAGAAAGACCTCCACAGGTTTCTGAGACTATAACTGTCTACAGGAGTAGAAAGCCCAGTCGTTCTCCCTCAGAGCTGCAGGTGGTTTCAAACTGCCGACCATGCACATTGCAACCAATGAATACCAACACCACCACCACCACTCTACCTTCCTTCCTGTAAGAGAGCTAAATTAGAATGTCTACAATCATTGGGGACCTAGAGGACCTGACCAGTGTAACATAAACTTACAGATGAGAGAGCCTAAAAAAGTTCTTGGAAAAATTCCAATTATCTTTTAATTCCATTTTCCCACAAATTTCTTGAAGCCCTGTCATAAACTTAACTGAACATTTTAACCTAGGAAATTACTGTAGCACAGATTAGGTTTTAAAGATGTAATCCAAGTAAGTAATATGTAATTTATTTACATCAGTGATGACAATAAAGTGCAGATGTGCTGCTACCCCCCCCCCCCCCGTTTTCTCTAATTTAACCCAGGGTTAAGTTACCAAGTGGCAGAGCTGAAATTCAAAGTTACGATTAAATCGTCATCCAATATCCATCTGCGTTCTGCTGTGTACAGAGGATGTGATTTGTTGAGCTGCAGCAAATATATATATATATATATATACACTTGAATATATCCTTGAATAGATACACTCATAGATACCAACAGATTTTTGTCTCCTATAACCCAAAGTAGCCATTTTAACAAATTATTTTAACAAATAATCTTAAATGCACAATTATGCACATATATCACTTTGAATCCTCTAATTTTTTCCTTATGCATTTAAAGTAACTCCGAATTTCAGGTTGTTTCTAAACTTCGATAAAAACTTACCACATCATCTTTTATACAGGGTTTATGTGTAACCAGCAGCCAACAGCAGTTTTGTTTCTGAACTTCAAAACCACTTGAATCCTAAAACAGCAAATAATATAATGTAATAGAATGACATATTTACGAGAATGAGTAAGCACAGGCACAGCATAGTGTCTCACTGCCCTTGAGCCAATTCTGACCCATAACTTCCCTGCAGGACAGAAAGGAATCATCCCTGTGGGTTTCTGGGACTGCAAATCATTACAGGAGTAGAAAGCCTCACTTCACTCCTACAGTGCAGCTGGTGGGTTAGAGCTACTGACCTTGCAGTAGGCAGCCCCATGTGGAGCCCACCAGAGCTCCATGGGCTCTTTTAGGCTTTCTGAAGACAAGAATCCCAAGTGATGATTTTAAGTATGACTGAGAACAATCCAGTAGGTGTCTCAGTAGAGTTAACCCCAAACTAAAATGAATTCCTTTAAAGTTAGAGAGAAAACAATGTGTCCATTAAGAAAACTATATATATAGTTATATATATATACATATATATAATTATTTATATAGACCACGCCAATTCTGACTCATGGCGACCCTATACAAGACCCTTAATATTGTCTGATCTAGTCAGGAAGGTCAGGAAACAGAACCTTACAAGTAGCTGTACCCTAGCAGTCGAGTCGTACTGCAGTTATTTTATTTGGCTATCAAAGCTTTAACCAAAATGAAGGGGAAAAAAAAATTTGAATTTCTGTTGAAGGACTGGACTATCTCAAGCCTACAATGATATGCCACTTTTTACTGACTGTGGTAGTATCAACTTGATAAATTAAGTGTAGGGGTGGAGTCTAGCCTGTCAATCAGGTCACAGTCTGATGATGCCTCCTTAGGGGTGTGACCTCATGAGGATTCTGGAAATTTCCTCTCTCCCTCCGCCTTCCTCTTCCTGTTGACAAGCACTGCCCTGCTAGAACCTCTCTTTCTGC